TTGGATAATACTAAAAATTAATTAAATCTTATTTTTTAATTGATATCATTAGAAAAACAATATTTTTGTGTGAGTAACTGATAAAAATATTTATAGACCACTGGTAATTTTGTTACCCCTGTCATGCTATAACTCTTGAAACTCCAAGATTTTCCGTCCTCTCGTTTTGCTGAGCAAAGTCCAGCAACCCCATGTCCTACAGCACAGATGGGCTCTGATTTAAAAAATAATGCAGTCATATCATTGAAGGCTTGTACGTTCATGCATGTAGACCTATCATCAGTACTTACAGATTCTATGTACTTGCAGGGAATGCAAGACAACCTTGTCAATGTGTAATCTGCTTGTCATATCGGATTCCATGAGTTAGCTAAGAGATGAGCCATTATTTGTTACTATTACTGATAAAATCAAAATAATTGTACTCAAACAGCGTACAGCTGTAACATTTGATACCCACTTTTTTCTTGGACAAATGCATTAAGGAGCTTAGCTAGCTCATTATCTTTAGCCAGGTCATGAAGGGCTCCTGGGGAACTTGGGAGAAGTACTGCACCATACCTAGCCGCTGGAAAGAAAACAAACTTCCTGTAAATGATAACCGAAGATAAAAAAGCTCCATTAATAATGCAAGTCATACTATACCTAAAAGAACTCTGTACACCTAAAAGAACTCTTTACACTTAAAAGAACTGTTAATGAGAATGGCCAGTTCCTTCCATGAGATGCGCTGCAAGGAATCATGGTTACTGTAGTGGTATTCGTCAAAACAAATATCCATGGATACAACTATAACTGATTATTCCTTGCAGGCCCATCTCATGGAGGGAATTGGAAATTACATATTCCCTGAAACGAGATGCAAAATGAACCACTGTGTAGATTCACCCCCCCTCCACCCCTCTGGAAATTCCAATTAGACTTCAGACATTTCTTTAAAAATGTTTTGGTCTTACAGAGTCCCCCACCCCACAGAAAATTCCAATTATCTTTGCTGTGGGGCGTGTATGGATATTTTCTAGAACTTTCCCAAATTACTGGGATGCAAAATTGAATACCTACATGTAGCATGTATTATTTTTGCAATATTTAGTCCAGCCTTTATTTCTCTCAGGACTTCCTCTGAGAATACTCCCAGTAAACTCTTAGATTAAACTTAAGTCTGTAAAATACATGCAAAGTCTAATTTTATCTGTTTTCCCATAACTGCAGCATATTTGGCATTAAGTTGAAACAATACCAATATTATAATTTACAAATGCTCACCATCAACATTTTCAAGTTTTCCAGGAACTGAAAAAGGCTTGGTCCGAAACTCATTCAACCATTTTCTACTGTTTTCATCTGCCTTCACAAAGTCTATTTGCTGACCCTGGAGGGACAAAGAGTTTTCGTGTTCTATATAATATGTCCATCTGGGGAGGAATTTTACAAGCGAGATTATATAACAATTATCTACATGTAACAGCTTTCTGATAACTGGGAAGAAGCTGGGTTTGGACAATACAGCACAAGACTAGTTTAAACCCCTCCTCAGGGTTGCTTACATTTACCAGGAACCCATGTAGAGAGTTTTAAGAAAATTGAACAAAATGTTGATAATCTCTGTTGAAAATGTAAGACACACTAAGAAACATAAATATACATGCATCTGCATAGCAACAGATAAAAAATCTGCCACTTAATTAAATGCTAGTTTCCAATTGTTGATCTCCTTAGAGTATGTTAGTCAAAGCCATGGGTCCCATAATCGGAACTGGGAGACCCAGGCAGAACAAGTGCTGGTGAATGGTAAAATTAAATTATGTACAACTTTGCAAATGGTAACAACAGAATATCTGTACTGTAAACTCCAGAGCTTTTTATCCTTACGAAAGAAATCAAGACTCAGAGACTTCTGAGAGAGGTTGACATTGCACCTCAATGTGGGTACATGAATCTCTTGATTGATATACCTTCATTTAAACATGACAATGTTTAAAGCTGAAAGCTTACATGAGGTCATGTGTCTTCAGAGTCAGCTCTAAAATTATCTTAATACATGTATGCATCTCCAATTGAATACAAATGTAACCAGAAATATATAAAATCTTGGTCTGCTCAGTAAAATCTAATGAAGAGGAAATTGACATAGGACTGAATTCCAATATCTTTTTTTTTACAAGGGGTTAAGAAATGCAGCAATTCTCTAATATTCAATGGGATGTGCAAATTATTTCAGGTGGCCCTTGTCAACTAAATCATTAGCTAGGAATTGAGGTAGGGGTGTGAAATGGGCCATTTAATATCTGCACCACCCCTACCCACCCCTCACCCCCCTCACCACTTTTGAGGGTCTAGTAAATCTGAGGGGAGAGGGTCTTTGGAGGCCATTTCTGAGGGGGCTACTTTGTTGGTACTTCTGATCTTTTATAAATTCTGAGTGGGGAAGTGCGTCGGCACTGTGCAAGAGGCGGCACTTTGGAAGAGGAAGGGGGGTTAAAAGTTTGTTTCTGACGGGGTAAAATTCGAAGTACCTTAATAGGGGCGGGGATGTGGATGTTAAATGGAATGGCCCAATAAAATGGAAATCATGGCCCTTAGTTGAATATCTTTCTTACTTGTGGTGTTGCAATCTGAACATTGAAAACTGAATGCGTCAGTGTGAATGCGTGAATGAAGGACTGAGCTGAGACACCTGAAATCCATAAAACAAAAAAATATCTCATGACCAGTGTCATCAAACGTCTGATTAGAAAAGACATGACAAACATACACAGATTCAGTGTTTTCTTCCCTTTTCTCCCACAGTAAGATGTGAAATAAATATTTTGGTAATCTCAAGTAACTTATCCCTNGTGGGTGCGAAACCTCCAGCTACCATTCCAGCTATGGGATGTTTGAAAGTGATGGAACCCTGACTAAGTATCTGCTCATGGGTGGTTCCCACCTATTAGGAGTTCTTCCTTACTAACAGTCCAACTGTTTCTACATGTATATAGATTTATTATGTATAGTTCTTCTTTACATCTTCTCTATGAACTGCTAAAATACATGCATTTACATTGTTCTATTTCATCAAGGTCATCAACATGGCTAAACTGTGGCAAGCGGAAATCAAAGCAAAAGAGAAAGCTGGTCTTCCTCCTCCCCCAACACCTGTTCTTTCTGATTCTGATGCAGCAGGAAACAGACTAGAAGAACAACCAACACACATTGCATTTGGTTCAAAAGTAGTTATTCCTAAACATGCTCGCAAGTCCTCTCGTGAAGGAGGTGCATCATCAGCAGGTGGAAGAAATTCGTCCTCAGCACTAAATCGCAGTGGTTCAATTCCACAGTTAACATCTGTTTCACCCGCTTTGGAGCCTGAAAGTGGGCGAGAAAGCAGTAGACAAACTCACAGACTTTCATATCAAAGGTCTTTTTCTGATGCAACTAATTTACATTCCGAATCATCCAATACGCAACTAGGAGTTGAGGCCACACAAACAACAATACAACCTCGGCCTCCAAGAACTGGCTCGGGAGGTAAAACACGGAGAAGACCATTAAGAGTCAAACATCCTGGAAGTTCAAAATCTCGCAGTACGGATGATAAAGATGCCATCAATCTTTCTGGTAAGAGCGATGAGCCTTTTAATGGTTCTTCTGGAACTAAGGACACTGTTTCTGAAGAAAAGGATTTGGACAGCAATCAGGAATCAATTTCTAGATCACAGAGTGAAAGCTCTCTAAAAATGTCAGGAAATGATAGTAGCTTAGCTGAGAGCTTTAACAAGTTCCAAATAAAAATTCCTGATAAGGATCAAAATGGTCATGTCAACTGTGACATCAATTCAAGAGAACAGCCACCTCTAACAGCAGAACTTGAAAAAGGGTCCCCACCTGTTTTTACCTTTTCATCAAGACCTAGATCAGCACCAAGATCGCCGCGGAGCCGACAACGGAAACAGCAGGATTTTAATACTAGTGCTACTCCTGCCGAGGAGAAACCACAAATCAAAATTTCCTCCCAAGTACCTGTGGATTTGAACAACTCTAATAGCCTCAAGATACAGAACCGAGGAAGAAAAGGGAGTGATCGATCCGAGTATGATGATGATTTTTACAAAGCTTCAGGGGAGAGTTCTACTGAAGAGGATGACTTGCAGAACTTTTTGAAAACAAGTGGCAACTCAAGGTGTAGTTCACAAAGCTCTAGACTGAGCCCTCTTCCTAGTCCAGAACCAAGCCCAGAGCCTGACACACTGTCAAAGTCACAGATTTTAAGGATGAGCGTCAGAAGTAGTTTGTTAAAGGAGGTGAGTTGGGACACTGTACTGCAAATCAAAATTAACTACTTTAGGATTTGCACATGAAATAGTTGGAGTACTTTAGTTGTTAAGGTTGGCATTGAGGGTGGTAACCTGTAACACCCATTTGTTGAGTGTTTTCAGGGGTTTCATGAATGTTTTCAGCAGAAGGGCAGCCAGTTTTCACAGGCGGGCAAAACGTTTTGTTCAAACTGAACTTCTTTATAAGAAAAACGTTTCACTAGATGATCAAACCAGGCAGGCAAAGCCATCTTTTCTGCTGGTCAACTTGCCCAGTGCCCAGTTCTTGCCGTGGTGTTTTTTTATGGGCCCTTGATGAACTTGTCTGTTGTTGAGAAAATCACTTGCCAATTGGTGGAGAAAGCGACAAGTTTGTTACAGGTGCAAAGATCAAGACTGTCACAACAGATCACTCAGAACCTAAGTTCTGCCCTTGGCAGAACTGTTTTCCCAAATTACAACTGGCATCAGTGACTAAAGGATGAATAAAAGTAACCACATGTCTTAATTTCCCAGTTATTGTTAGGTTATGTGCATGGGTAAACAAAACTCACGAATAAACAAAACTGCCCTCGGCTGATAATTATCTTGCATTGGTCAAACTCACGACTTTTTTGTATATAACTTTAACAGATTCCTTCACCTCGTAAAAACAATGGTAAACCCTACGATTCAAAGAACTACCAATCTGACGCAGGCTCCTGGCGAAACTTTCAATCTAATGCAAGTTCGTGGCGATTTGACACGTCTGTCATGAGCAACACAATGCTGGACAAATCACTGGATAAATCGTTCAACAGCTCTTTTGGGACATCAGGGTCAGATGAGGTCATAATTAATAATGACGGAAAGGATTCCCTGAGCGACTCAAGTGATGATACAAGTTACAGTACCTGGAAAGGACCACCTCCCCCAGACAAGAGGATACATCGGTATCTAGATGAAATGCGGGTAAGTGTAATGCATTTGTCCAATGCATGGAGAGCAGAAAAGACTGCATTTCTTTGAAAAAAAATCTTCAGGAAATGTGATTAGTGGTATTCCCGATAGACAATGTACTTTGTCTTGCACAACAAGTGAAGTACATAGAATGTGGCTTATTTTTCCCTTCACAAATTTGCCACACTCATGGACATGTGACATGTGACATCTTTAATGCAGGGTTAAGCCTGATAGTGCAAGGTTACATTAGCCTGCATGTAACATCCATCTTGACTTGTTTTACTACTTCATTTCTAGCATAAGTGATTACCGGTAAGTTTCGACAGTCAGTCATCACTTAACCTATTTCTTCCTTTAACTTGATTTATGTCCAACCAGAGATTTTACAGATGGGTGTGTAAAATACTACAATTCTAACTTTTAGTTCCCTCTCTTCGTCCACAAATTGATTTAGGATTTATCATACTCAAATTGATGACAATGGCAGATTATTATTTACCAGACTGAGTATTTAAATTAACAGTTTGATTTACATTATTATAAACAGCACCCAGGGCCAGAACCAGACTTGACGGCTACATTACCAATGGATCCAAGAGAATACTCCAATGCTTTCAGTCCACCTATTGTACTACCCAGTCAAAAGAGGAGTTCTGGTGAGTGGCACGCAACTCTTACCAATTCCCTAATCCCCTGTCTCAGACTTGCTTACTGTAATTTTCCTTCTTTTGTCACTGAGCTTAAAGCCTGATAGACAGAATCCCTGAAAGGGATACAAGTGATATCCCAAAGTAAGTTGTACATCTCGGTAATGGGAAGCAAGGAGAGTGCACCTACTTGTATGTTGCATGAAACAAAACATGAGCTTGTGCATCAGTCAGACATTGTTTCTATTAAACAATTAGCTTATGAGCTTGAGATCTCTTTCATGTTATAGTTGACGAGCTCGTCAACTATCATGCATAGAAATCATTCAAAACTTTATCTGAATCCTCTTCACAGACACTTTGAAAACGCCAAGAAGCGGCTCTCATTTTGTTAACAAGGGCACACTGCTACCCTGCCCATGATCTATCACAGAATAGATAGTGAGTAGCGTAGCCAATCAGAGAACGACATTCGTGATAGGACGTTAGTAGATTTATACTAAAAATTTATATACTTTATGTTTCATTGTATGTTACGTAGTGTACTGCCATAGGCCTGCATTTCATTCCCTGGGCTACAGCTACATAGCTCTTAACACGCATCACACCTTCTGTACTGCATGCTGATATGTATAACCCCACAATAGATAATGATATTTTACCGTACCCAAATTTGCAATTAGCCAATCAGAAGCCCTTTCTACTGTCCTGATATCAAGTCACTGACCTGATATGGCTATGATATCATGCTCATGTGGCTGAATTTGGGTTCAGTAAATAGATAATCCTACCTTTTTGGTTCGCTTCGGCAGAATGTTATAAGGCTCAAATGGACCCCCCATGGGTATTTTGTCTCCATTACATCTTGCCAAGATACAAACCATGGCTCCACCAAACTCACCTGATCTGCAACCGAAGTGTACCTATGATTAGTATGATTAGGTATATTAATTACCTAGTAGTTATATTAAAAGTAAACTATAAATAGAGACATTCTTGGTTTCCTTTCCATATATATATTTGTTTTTTCTCTAAAAAATAGCAGTTTTGCACATAAAGTTCTGAAAACATTTTTTGTTCAACAGCAGAACAAAATGATGCCCTCTCAGCAGCTCTTTCATCACCAAGAAGTCGTAATCCCAGCACTAGCATGGATCACAACGTTGTCGATGAAGAGGAGTTAGACTTGCTCTACGACCCATGCTTGAACTGTTATTTTGATCCAAAAACACACAAGTACTATGAGCTGGCATGAAACTAAAGAGATTCTTAATTTATTATTATTTTGTAACCTGTGAACAGGTTCTGGCAAGGGCAAGAAAAATTTGGCGAGCAAAGTGAGTTGACGAGAGAGAAAAACATCAGGCAAGCTAAGTGAGTC